TATTTTTAGTAGAAATGAAGTTTCACCATGTTGGCCAGGCTGGACTTGAATTCCTGACCTCCTGATCCGCCTGCCTCCGCCTCCATAAGTGCTGGGATTACAGGCGTCAGCCACCACGTCCAGCCTGGATTGTTTTTTGACAAAAAGACTATCTTCTGGGGTCAGATAATATTATTGCTCCCTGGCTATATGATCATTATCTCTTAAATGCTATTTAAACCAGTTTCGTGTTCTTCCTGATTTCTTCATTAATGAGATAAATAACCTGTTGACAAGTGCTCATTATATGTTTTATGAGAGTCACATTTATACTTCAGAGGATGATTGCTTAAATACTTGTTAAAAAGAATAAAGTCACACAAGCAATTTACACACACTTTATGTGTCAAAGTGTCCTGATATAAGTACAGGTTCATAACAAATGTGTAGTGTCCTTGACCGTGGGATTCCCAGTTCCCAGGCATTGTGCCATAACCTTGAGTTTTTGAACGGATATGTTTTAAAGGGTGAGAGAGGCAGGAATGCATATTTTGTTCCAGATTTGTCTGACATTTAAAAGGCCTTTGTCCTTTAATTACCTCAGTAATTAATTAAGACTAACCAAATACGTTATCAAGTTCATTTTAAAGAAGAGGTTGTAAAACCAAATGCGAGACAGAAATTTCTTGGTAACTCCTGTAATTTTGAACTAGTCTTGGTGTTCACACTTAGTAGACTACTGCTTTATTGTAGTTTCTACTGACAGCCTGTAAAAACAACTAACTGAAGAATCATCTGGAAAGTTTTCCCTTAGTGTTTTTCACTGAATTATTCCCCATAATTTTCAAGATCAAGTCTATAAGATGAGACTCTTTCAGATGAGATTTATAAAAGTTTAAATTTGGAGACAATAAATGGAGGATAAAAAGAAAGGAAAAATAGTAAAGACATGCACTTCTGTGACCCCTTATAGACATCATGCTGAGTAATGGTACATGTCCAGAGAGTAACTCCTTGTTTCCAAGTATATCAATTTCAAGTGTTAGAATGTTTGGGAAAGCAGCGTATATTCACACATTTCAGCTAATCAATGAAATTTCTTATTTCTAATAGGCTTCAAAATAATAGGTCTGTTAAGCATTCTTTTATGTTATTGTTGGTTCTTTTGTTGTTTTTGTGTGTCTGTGTGTGTGGTGGTGTTGTTGTTATTTTTAGAGAGGGTCTCACTCTGTCACCCAGCACCCAGGCTGGAGTGCAGTGGCTCAATCATGGCTCATTGCAGTCTCGACCTCCCAGGCTCAAGTAATCCTCCTACCTCAGCCTCCCAAGTATCTGGGACTACAGATGTGTGTGCCACCACACCCAGCTAATTTATTTTATTTCATTTTTTGGTAGAGATGGGATCTTACTATGCTGCCCAGGCTGGCCTTAAACCCCTGGGCTCATGCTGGCATTACAGGCATGAGTCCCCATGCCTGGTCTGTTTTTTCATTCATTCATGAATCAAGCAGAGAATTTGCAATCATTTCCACTATTTTCCCTCATCTCTCCAATATCTTAGAGAGAAGCAGAAATTATTATTCCTATTTTAGAAATATAGAAAATAGATATGCCCAAGTATTTATGGAATCTCCTTAAGTCTGATATATTATCAAATCCAGCTCATTTATCACTTCTAAACTTCCTGAGACACTGCCAAGAGGTAAGGGTTTCTGTAAGTTTGTAGTACTGACTTCGTAGCCAGCCTTTCCACATTCACTATCATTATCATGGTGTAGGCTGTGGCTTTTCTGACCATTTCTTGGTGCCATGGGGTTCTCAGAAGGCCCTCAGGGGCTGCTGGGCTGAGAAGAGATTAATGTAACCAGGTATCACCCACAAATCCCCCCCACCACCTTCACCACACATACACTTAACCAGAGAAACTCTACCTGTGGTTGCCAATTCCTTGGTTGGAATATTCTTCCTCCAGAAATTCACATGGCTCACTCAACTCATTCAGATTTCTTCTCAAATATCTCCTCCTCAAAGAGGCCTCTTTTGGATCACTCAGTCTATACCATCCCCAATCCTCCCTACACCTCCAGCCATTCTGTCTCATAAACTCACTTTAGTTTTCTTTATGCACTTATCACTCCCTGGCTTTATAGTATCTATGTATTTATTTGTTTGTCTACTGTCTGTGTGCTGGGTCCTCCACTGAGACCAAAGTTCCAAAGGAACAGAGATTCTGCTTAGTCTGGCATTATATCCCAAGGGTGTAGAAAAGCCTGGTGCATCATAGCTACAAATAAATATTTGTTTATGAATAAGTGAATATATTCATATTCAGATTATTTTTAAGATTGCAGTTTTAGAAAATGTTCTGCTGCTAAGGTAATTGAGAGCCAGTGGTTTCCACCCTTTCATTTAGATAATTTCACCCGGTCGCCCTGACTTTAACTTCTCTGTCATTTTTGTGTTCTATACAAAAATGGACTGACTATATTTTATGTGGCTAATGTCACTTCTCTGTTTAGAATCTCCCTTTCTAGGCTGGGTGGGGTGGCTCATGCCTGTAATTCTGGCACTTCGGGAGGCTAAGGCTGAAGGATAGCTTGAGACCAGGAGTTCAACACTAGCCTGGGCAACATAGCAATACCCCACCTCTACAATAAATTAACAAAAAATTAGCCAGGCATGGTGACACATGGCTGTAGTCCCAACCACCCGGCAGGCTGAAGCGGGAGAATCATATGAACCCAGGTGTTCAGGGCTACAGTGAGCTATAATCGTGCCAGTCATTGTACTCAAGTTTGGGTGATAGAGACAGACTCTTCCTCTATTAAAAAAAAATAAAAAAGAATCTTTTCTTCTGTAATACTTCATGCCTTCAGAATGTTCTCAAGGTCCTTTTGCCTGATATTTAATGCCCATCAAGATTTGTCTGAAATTCTTCTAGCGTTAAGTTCCAGTATTTTCCTGCATGAGTCTCCTAAGTATCAATAGCTATTTTCTCCTATGTGTCTTTGTTCACTTATTTGCACAGCCTTCAAAGCCTCCTCAGATACTTCCCCCTCCAGGATGCTTTCCCTAATCATATCAATGGAAAATAAACATCCAAAGCAATTGATTTGCATTATTCTAGTGGCATGTGTAACATCCTGATTTGCCTAACAAATGTTTGTTATGTGTATCTTATTTCATTTACTAGCTTGTAAATATCTTAAGAATGGGAACTGGTAACTTATCAACTTGATCAAGTAAACAATTACTGAGCAATCATTGAAAAATGGATAAAAGTGTAAAGAATTTAGTTTTTACTTCTGTAAATCCCAAGTAAAATCTGTTCTCCCATCTCTAGGCCTGATTGAGCTTATTCATATGCCCCTAAAAAGCAATTAATTGGTAACAAACAAGCCAAATATGGCTCAGATACATGATGTATACAGAGGAGATTTTGTTTTAGTAGCTTTGGGACCAAATCCGTCAGAAATTAAGAGATTGAAGATCTGACTGTGACTTCCAGTAAAATTGTCAGTGAAAGCACAGCAAAGAAAAACATGGTGTTTCCTTGAGTACATAAAATAAAAACTCTTTTTGCCTGAGTTATGTGGATGAAAGCAGAAGTTTGAAGTTTGCTTGTTTGTTTTGAATAAGCTGCTTTAAAAATGCTGGCTGTAACTGTTCATAAGCAAGTTTTTTCAAAAATAAACCTGTTTGTATTGAGATATGATTGACATATGATAAACATATTGAAAGCATACCATTTGATATATTTTGATGCATGTCTACTCCCATGAAAGCATCTTCATAATTAGAATAATGAATATATTCATCACACCCAAAATTAAAGGCAAGTTTTAAAACAATTTATTTTAAAAATTAATGTACTATAAAATTGACATTTTTGTACATGGTTTTATTAATTCAAATACATGTATAGATCTATGTAACCATCCCCACAGTCAGGATAAGGACCATTTCATCACCCCAAAAATCTGTCCTCACATACATATAGCCTTTCTCCACCATTCATCCTTGGCAACCACTGATCTGTACTTTATCTCTATAGCTTTGTCTTTTCTACAGTGTTATATGAATGGAATCCTATAAGTATGTACCATTCAGAGATGGGCTTCCCTTACTCAGCATAATGCCTTTTATGTTAATTCTAGTTGTTACAGGTTATCAGTTGTGTGTTTGTTTATATTCTTTTTTCTTTCCTTACTTTCTTTTTTGGCTGAGTGGTTTTCCTTGTCTAGATAAACCATAGTTTGTTTATTCACTCCCCTGCTAAAGGACATTTAGGTTGTTCCTGGGTTTTACTATGTATAGAGCTGCTATAAACATTTGTGTATGGGTTTTTATGAAGATAGGTAACTTTCTTTTTAAGATTATTTTATGCCTCATTTCATAAATAATAACAGGATGAGAAATTTTTCTGTCTCCAAAAATGGGAGGAGTTTCAGATGAATTTTTAGAGAGTTGGACTCTCTCAACAGGAGGATGCAATCTTGCCCCATCATTCATGGCCTGTGGTTCTATCTGCCATTGTTCTATTCCTAGTTTTCCAGATCACATAACTCTCTAAGACAATTCGGTGCTGCAGTAGGAGTCCCTATGCCCCTGTTTTGATGTGTTATATGGCACGTATTGAGTACATACATACATCAGAGCAAGTAATTTCACACATTCTGGAGCCGAGAATATTTTTGTTCTAATTAGTGAAACATGAGTGAAAGAAGCTGAAGTTTTGCATTGGTATGGAAGGTAGGTCTGAAAATTAGAAGAGAGAATTGGAAGAATTCTCAATCAGTAATTGACAGAATTGGAAATAACTGTTATGTGTTAATATTGGAATCTCATGATTCTCTAGCAATATAAATCTTGGATTTATAATTTATTTATTTATTAAATTCAATGAATATATATTGAACACCTACTATGTCACAGATACTATTATAAATGTATTTATTTTTACTATATTTTAATTATATTAGCATCTTATTAACATATCATTGAAACGTCTTCTTTTCCCCCCATAGGAGTCAATTTTACAGCTCGATCCCAGTCATTTGCTGTCTTGCCTGTGACTAGGAAGGAGAAGTCGACCATCATCCTGGCTGCTTCCCTGTCCTCTGTGGCCTCATGGCTGGCTCTGAGCTGTCTGGTGTGCTGTTGGCTTAAAAGAAGCAAAAGCAGAAGTATGTAGATTTTTAAAAAAATTTTGGAATGAAAATTTCTGAAAAACAAAGTCATCGTGCATAACATATTAATGATTCTTTTTCTTTCCCCAAAGACAAATTTTTGTGAGCTTCTCTAAAATATAAAATTACACAAAGCCAAATTGTTCAGTTAATACATTAGAGAAAAGGATTGCCTAATCTTGAGTAATAATAGCAATAATCATAAAACCTCATGTTTACTAAATACTATGGAACACATTCTGAGCACTTCAGATAAAGGAATTTCTTTAATCTGCACAACAACCCAATGAGGTGGGTGATAAATATTGTGCCTGTTATTATGTATGTAGAGAAAGAGGGACAAAAAGGGTAAGTCACCTGCCCAAGGTCTCAAAATCATGAAGAAGCCAGGCAGTTTGGCTCTAGATCGCATTCTCTGAAACACTATACTCCATTGCCAGCTGAGCCTTCAAAAAGTGAGTTAAAGAATCAGGGAAAACCAGCACTTTGAGAGGCCGAGGGGGGTGGATCACCTGAGGTTAGGATTTTGAGACCAGCCTGGCCAGCATGGTGAAACCCCATCTCTACTAAAAATACAAAAATTATCTGGGCGTGGTGGCAGGCGCCTGTAATCCCAGCTACTCGGGAGTCTGAGGCAGGGGAATTGCTTGAACCCAGGAGGTGGTAGAGGTTGCAGTGAGCTGAGATTGCGCCATCGCACTCCAGCCTAGGTGACAGGAGCGAAATTCTGTCTCAAAATAAATAAATAAATAAATAAATAAATAAAATAAAAAAAGAATCGGGGAAAATGTCATCTTCTCCTCTTCTCCTTTAAAATGGGAGAGGGCTTAGTGTTTTTTGTTTTTGTTTTTGTTTTAGCATAGAAATTAAGTATGTTCCTAAATATTTCCCAGAAGTGGATGCTATTTTTTAATATTTTAAAGCTGGAGACTTGTAGTCACTGAGCGAAAGAGGCTTTGTAAATGAAGCTTCTTTCTATCTTAGAGTGGAGGAGACAGGTGAGCAGATCAGGCATTGGCAAATTCCTTATTCCACCCATTCCTCCAACCCTAGACCACCCAATGAGTGGAAGAAATATTTGTGTTACTAGGAGGCCCTACAAAACCAAAGTATAAGCAAGAGTGAAGTTTAAAAGAGGAAAAATAAAGAGAGACAAAGACAAAAGATCAAAATAAAGGTGAGAGAAAGTAGCATAGTCCCACTACTACAACATTCACTGGGCTTGGAACTCTGAGAGATGCTTGGGAAAGGAAGCTCCACTGGATACATTTTCTGTATTTGAACTGAGCTACAGCCTGGTATCCCTGCTTCTCTCTTCATCCTGTTGATCTGGACTGGACTAACTACAAGGCAGCTCCTTGTCTTTCTAAAGAAGAATGGGATCTTGACCTTGTTCTGCTTTGTGTTGCTGTGATTTGCAGTTTTTTGTTTTTCCTTCTTAAAGTTCTGTCTACATTCAGTGTGTGTAGTACTGTCTGCTTGTAAGTAGAATTTTCATAAATTTTTATCTCATGTAATCCCGTGAAGTAGGTGATTTGATTCTCATCTTCCATATTGTATCTAAACCAAGCAGCCATGCAGGGGTCTCTCCCTAAGGTCTAACCTCACTTTTAATCCTAAGCTCTAGAGATGGCTTTTTCTAACTCCTAAGCTCTGCTAACTCCACTTTGGATCTCCCAGCCCTAGAAGTGGCTTCTTCCTGCATTTACAAATATATCTATTACTTCAGTGTCTTACTGTTGCTCTTTCAACCTTTCAATATCTGTGGACACATTACCTTGTATGATATCCCCATATTTTCCTTAGTGGGCACAGACTCCTAACTATGTTAAACAAACAAAAAAGATGTAAAGAAATTACAAGGAACTTTATGAAAGTTTTACAGTAGTCAGATCTGTATAAGTGATTTGTATTTCCTTCTTTATACCTTCTGCATTTTATATTTATTAAGTTTCTAAAATTAGCATTCATTTCTTCAGAATCAGAAAAATATATTGTTCCACGACTTACTCATAAAAAAGGATACTCTGGTTAAGCTATATGCTCTCTGTGTCTGTCTTTTTCAATTTGGGTCTAAGGATCTTGTTGTACTTTCAACGATTGTTGAGAATCTAAACAACTTTTGTCTATGTGAGTTCTATATCCATTAGTATTTCCAAATTAGAAGTTTAAACAGAAAATTTTAAATTTACTCATTACCTTATTTCAAAATAATATATGCATTGCATGTAAACAAAACATTTTAAATTAAAAAGTTGTAGTTTCAAACAATATATAGTGAAAAGAGTGTGGCATTCTTACAAATCTCTTTAATGTCTTCCTTAATAGGCAGCTGGAATCTCTTGGCAGCTTCTGTATTCGACCTATTGCAATATATTGTTTTTGCTGAAGTATATGAAGAAAACCAGCCTCAGTCAGATACACTGTAGAAAAGGCATAAGCATTTTAATAGCCTTTACAGATAATAGTGGACATTCTTCTTTCCTACTGCACCCAGACTTGACAAGAAGTAGTTACTTAAAGTGCCATCTCAATGTCCTTTTTGTACTTTGTTACATGAAAATCCACCAGTCTCATCATATACTTTGAATGGAGCTTTCATCCATGCGTTATGCTTTGACCATTTTGAAAATATTGTTTCATGGCGTCGTGAAGATCTTCTCGACATTGACATATTTTATTCTACTATTCAAAAAGATCACATTTGTTAATAACATGAATCATTAAGAATTAGAAACCTGTGACGCTCATGCAGTTGATACAAGTTTTCCCAAATTCCAAGTTTCCCATGAAAGCTTGAATTTTATCACTGGCAACAAACATTGTAAGTTGTTTCTGTTTTACAAGCTCACTTCATTCATTTGAGAAAAAATGAAATCTACCAAATACACAAGTATGAATAACCATAATTTCTCAATCATGTTTTCAAGCTCTTTCAAGTAAAAATAGTGTTCCATGAAAAAATAGCTAATTCAGCTCAAAATTCAATTGTAAAATTGCTTTTTCTTGGGAAAAATCACATATGGATTTTAAATAAAATTTAATTATCTTTACTGCTTTATCAAAGATATTCTTAAGTAAAATTGACTTTTGTCTTTTCTCTTCTTGTTGGTTTTTTGTTTTGTTTTGTTTTACTGTGATTTTATTTCAGGGTATATCCCTCCGGATCATGCCTATCCAAAAATATATACCTTGTGGTTTTTACTTGCATTTCTCTAATGATTAGTGATGATGAGCATTTTTTCCCACATACTTTTGGCCACATGTATGTCTTCTTTTGAGAAGTGTCCATTCACGTCCTTTGCCCATTTTTTTAAATGGGATTGTTTGCTTTTTTGATTTAAATTCTTATAGATTCTGGATATTAGACCTTTGTCAGATGCATAGTTTGTTAATGTTTTCTCTCATTCTGTTGGTTGTTTGTCTCCTCTGTTGGTAGTTTCTTTTGCTGTGCAGAAGCTCTTTAGTTTAATTGGGTCCTGCTTTTTTTGTTTATGTTTTTGTTGGATTTGCTTTTGGAGGCTTCATCATGAAAACTTTGCCAAGGCCTACGTCCGTAATGGTATTTCTTAGATTTTCTTCTAGGGTTTTTACCATTTTGGGTCTTACATTTAAGTCTTTAATCTTGCATATAGTGAAAGGAAAAGGTCAAGTTTCATTCTTCTGCATATGGCTAGCTAACTTTCCCAGCACCGTTTATTGAATAGGAGTCCTTTCCCCATTGCTTGTTATTGTTGGCTTTGTTGAAGATGAGATGGTTGTATGTGTGCAGCTTCATTTGTCTATTTGTCTATTAGTCTGTTGTCTATTTGTCTATTATTTTGCCAGTACCATTCTGTTTTGGTTACTGTACCTTTGTAGTATAGTTTAAAGTCTAGTATGTAATAAGATACCATCTCATACCAGTCAGTATGGCAATTACCAAAGTTAAAACAGTAACAGATGTTGGCGAGGTTGTGGAGAAAAGGGAATGCTGATACACTGTTGGTGGGAATGTAAATTAGTTCAGCCACTATGCAAAGCAGTTTGGAGATTTCTCAAAGAACTTAAAACAGAAGTTTTCAACTCAGCAATCCCATTATTGGGTATATACCCAAAAGAGTATAAATCAGTCTACCAGAAGGACACATGCATTTGTATGTTTATTGCAGCACTATTCACAATAGCAAAGACATGGAATCAACCTAGATGCCCATCAAAAGTGGACTTAATAATGAAAATATGATACATACATACCATGGAATAGTATGCAGCCATAAAAAGAATGAAATCACATCCTTTGCAGCAACATTGATGCAGCTGGAGGCCACTAAACCAAGTGAATTAATGCAAGAACAGAAAACCAAATACTGCATGCTGTCACTTATAAGTGGGAGCTAAACATTGGGTACACATGGACACAAAGAGAGGAACAATAGAAACCAGGGCCTACTTGAGTGGGGAAGGTGGGAGGGGGCTAAGGGTTGAAAAACTATCTGTTTGGTACTATGTTCACTACTTGGGTGATGAAATCATTTGTACACCAAACCCCAGTGACATGCAATTTACCTGTAACAAACCTGTACATGTACCCGCTGAACCTAAAATAAAAGTTGAAAAAGAAAAAAAAGATCTACTTCCCACCCATAACTACCTCTTTTTCATGCCATGTCATAGCATTACTTTGCCATATTACAAATTTATTTGTTTATCCTCTGCCATCCAAACTAGAATAAAAGCTCTATCAGGGCAGGGATCAGATCTTTTTTACTCATCATAGTATTCCCAGAGCCTTAAACAGTGCCTGACATGAGGAATATAAATATATTTTAGATGAATGCATTTATTAAGTAGATGAATAGAAGATGAAGTACCTCTTCAGCCAGGGATAGACTAAAGATATACAGTCTTCAACTAAAAGCCCCCCTCATCTTGCATTTGGTGGCTTGTACTGGTCTCAATTCCTTGGTATTGATATCATACTGTTACACAGGTTGTTAACAATGGAGAAGGCTGGGTGAAGATGCTTGCATCCTCCCTGTACATTTCTTGACAACTGCCTGTGAATCAATATTCATTTCAAAATTAAAGACTAAAAAGTATTAATAATATTCTGTCACTAGCTAATCAGTTCTGTCCAACAGAAGTATAACATGAGCCACACATGCAAGACACATATATAATTCTCTAGTAGCCCTTTAATATATCAATAATGTTATTTCAACATGTAATGAATATAAAAATATTAGGTAGTTTACACTTTTTTGAAAATTGACTGTGTACATTATACTTACAATACATCTCAATTTAGCTAGCAACATTTTAAGTGATCAGTAGCCACATGTGTCTGCTATTTGTATAGTTTTATACCATAATGTTGGTGGTCAGTATATAGGATTTTATGGCATTATTTCTTGAACTCTGAATATGTTATATGCATTCTATTGCATGTATATGATAATTATGGGACAAGGATACATACAAGGGAAACACCTAAATGCTGATGGTCCCACTTACAAATAAAAATGTTCTTTTTGTCTGAACAAAAAAACCGCTTCTTTTTCTCCATTAATACAGAAACAAAACCTGAAGAGATTCCCGAATCCCAGACTAATAATGAAAATAATCATATCCACACCTCATCCAAATGCCGAGAATCACAAGGGCCTAAAAAAGAAGACACTGTGGTGGCAGAAGGTAAGCTTAGAGGTGGAGATGATCCCCACAGGACAGACCCGTTGTGGACCGACTGAGCCTCCCTCTCCTTCAGCTGTGTTTCTGAAGCAATTTCGTTTGTAGCCCCTTCTTAGTCTTTGTTACTTTCCTTCAAAGAAATATCCCAGCAGAAAAATACACACGTCTGGCTGATTCATTCATCTATTCACCAATTATTTGAATTGATACATATACTTTATATATATATATATATGTGAAGATTATTGGTTTAACATTTGAGTTCGTTACGTAAAGCAGAAACTAGAGTATAGGCATATAATCTTTCCTTTAGCTATTGCAAAGCTGCCAATTTGGCAACATTATTGAATTTGGGAAAGAAGAGTACAGTTGCCAAATACAACTATGCAAATTAGATTGAGTACAGAACCCTCGACACATGAGTCAGCTTTGTTAAGCTGTGCTTTGTTGTTTAGCTGTACTTTCAGCAAAATGTATTATTTGCCTCCGTGGTGTATTATGCCAGATGATATTACTTGTTATATTGTTAAATTGCCATTAGAATTAGTGCCAAACAGAGAAAAGATAAGCATTTGCCGGGGATGAATGCTTTGCCCTTATCTGACTAAGAATGCTGCAAATAGAAAGACTGGGCACAGCACAAGATGGCTTTGCCAAATATAGGTATGATACATGAAAAATATTCATATAATTTCCCTAGGCCTGAAACATTTAAAAACATGTACTCTAAAGAGTCAATTATCATATTTTCTGCTTCAAAAGGCTTACCTGTCTTAGTGGTTCTGAATGTATGTTTAAGCAAAAAATAGCAGCCCAATGTTATTCTGCCTCTAAGTAGCTGAGTAAGATCTTTCATGTGTGTGTTTATGTGTGTGTGTGTGTGTGCGCGCGCACGCATGAGCATGAGTGTTTATCTGTTTGCTTGTTTGTATATCTTTCCATGAAGGAAATAAAAGTTTGTTTGTTTTTTTCAATTTTCCCAACATATTAGCTATACTCCAGTTCCTGGACCTGCACCAAAAGGTGGTAGAGGGTGTGGGGTGTAGATGGGAGTAGTATTGAAAAAAATAGAGAAAGAGAGAAGGGGATGGGAATTATCTGAAGAGTCCATCTAAGATTATTCTAATTTTGCTTTTTAGAAGCCTCTTGACCATACTATTGCATGTAAACTCAGGACAGGTGTTTGAACCCTGCCATCTGAATAGCTCTTCATATTCAGCTGCCATCTACAGAGAATGGCAGGAGTGATACTAATCTCTCCCTTAATCTCATATGGCTATCTTTGTGAATCTCAGTGGCCTGCTTAAATTAACTACATTACGCAGTCTACAGTGCCTAACTGTTTTATTAAGGAACATTTTTTATGTGATGGTTTATTAATAAATTAAGAATGAGACAGGGAGGGACAAGACTCTCTGGAAAAGTTTAGATTGAAGAGAGGGGAGCATCAAAGAGGCCATTTTATTAGGACATACAAGTTAAAAATAGAAAGATGTGTTATCCGAATCCTCCTCTGGGGATCACAGCAGATTTGTTTCCTTATCTTCTAAGCTTTGTACAAATCTGAAGAGTATCGTTTTGAAGACAAATAATGAGGCATCTCCTGCTTTTCTTTGGAAATTATTACCAGCTATGAAACACCTAATTATTGGTAACTTTACATACATTTTGTTTTATTCTGTTATTGCCATGGCACTTTAGCTTCCCTTTTCCCTCTGTGTTTTTAAGCTTTTAACATTTGCTGATAAAGTGACTGACTGTTTCTGTCTTCAGCACTTTGCCTTCACTAAGCACTATCACAGCACTTAGGATGATTGAGCTGTTGGAACCGAGCATGACTACTAGATTCAGATTATAAATTTACCACATTACAGCTTTTACCAAAAATTGCATGGATACAGTCAGGGTGCCAGAAAATTGTGATGAGGGAAGAAGAGAGTAAAATATACATCCCTCCTATTTTACTGTCACCAGGGTTTTTGATATCAAGAGCCATCTAAGCCCTCTTTTAAAATTCATATCTGCTAATGTCACTCTTCTACTCATGAAATTTAATGAATTCTCATTGTCAGTTGGAGAATCAGGATAGTGTGACATAAGAGCATAGAACCCAGAAGTCCAACAAACTGAGTTTAAATCTGACTCCCTGTTGTCAGACTTTGGTAAGACAACTAACTTCTCTGTGTGTTTCAGTGTCCTCATCAGTAACATGGCCCTAGTGGTACTGGCCATAGTTATGGTTATCATACAGAATAAGTGAATTACTGTCAGTAAAGAGCACAGAACAATTTCAGGCATACTATGTGGGCTATATATGTGTTATTTATTATTGGTTTAGAAAATGTTATTTAAGATTCAAAGCCCTCTAAGCCTTGACTCTATCCAATATTTCTAACCTGATATTGGGTTTTCCTCTCTTGCCCATGCTTACCCTCACCACACTAACTCATCCATCCCGGGATTAGTCTAATATTTCCTTGCTCATTTACTTGCAGTTTCTTCCAGTTGGATGGTTTGTCTTCACCTGTTAAAACCAGCTCAAGCTTTAAACAGTAGCTAAGGTGCCTTTTTTTTTTTTTTTTTTAAAGAATGTTCACAACACAAAGAAATGATAAATGTTTGAGGTGATGAACATGGTCACTACCCAGATTTGATCATTATACATTGTATACATGTATTGAAATATAACTCTGGGCTGGACACAGTGGTTCACGCCTATAATCCCAGAATTTGAGAGGCCGAGGTGGGAGGATCACCTGTTTACAGGAGTTTGAGACCAGTCTGGTCAACGTGGTGAGACCCTGTCTCTACTAAAAATACAAAAAATAGCCAGGCGTGGTGGCATGCACCTGTAGTCCCAGCTACTCAGGGAGGCTGAGGCAGGAGAGTCGCTTGAACCCGGGAGGCAGAGGTTGCAGTGAGCCAAGATCGCACCACTGCACTCCAGCCTGGGCAACAGAACAAGACTCTGCTCCCCTCCCTCCAAAAAAGAAATATCACTCTGTACCCTGTAAATAAGTACCATTATTACATGTCAACTAAAAATCAGAAAACAAAAGCTTTCCTCAACCCCTTTCTTCTCAACCAGAATGAACATTTTCCTCTTTGGGTTCCAAGTATACTGAGTGAGTGCCTTCATTGTAGCACTTCTGGTCTTTGTAATTCATTGTATGATAACTTTCTGTTTCCAAAGGTCAGTCGTTTTCAACCAGGGGAATTCTGCTCCCCAGGTAGGGTGACTAACACATCCTGGTTTTTCCCAGAACTCTCCCAGTTTTGAAACTGAAAATCTTGTGTCCCAGGAATTCCCTCAGCCCCAGACAAATTGGGATGGTTGGTCACTCTACTTCCAGAAGACATTTGCAGTGTCTGGAGACATTTTGCTGCCACAGCTTGGGAGCAGGGGAGCACCACTGGCATCTCGTGTGTAGAGATATATCTTATAATACCCAACACCACCCCACAGCAAAGATTAGCTAGCTCAAAACATCAGTAATGCTGAGGATGAGAAACCCTGGCAGAGGCTTTTACTGATCTTTGTAACATTTAGATGACAGCCTGTTGGAATGACTTAATGAATACAATTAGATTTCCTCTCCCAACGAATATTAAATAAATATTTATCTTCTGATGTTTATTTAGCATGTTATAAGGCTCCTTCTGTGTAATTATAAAGAGATGATATCTGGTCCTGTGCCCTTTATGAATTTTCAGTATGGTTGGGATACAAGAGTAATATTTGGGGGAAAATTAGAGAACAATTCCAGGCAACACGCAATTAAGTGTGAGGCAGTTAGAACAGTGTGTATCTAAAAATTCAAATATGGGAGAGAATGCTAAAGGAGATAAAGAATGCTATTGTCCTAAGTTACATGTTTAGCCCCTCTAACTCAAAAATCATATCATACTGTTTCAAATCCCATTTGCAAAGGGCTTAGTTGTCCAGTTTATATAAACTCAGATTTGTAGAAATGCCAGGGAAAGAGTCTTGTTTGCTCTGTCAGAGCTCAATTTTGCATCACACATTCTCAACTGTTCCCTTCTTCTCTAAATTGGTTAATTGGCCCCAAATCTTCCAGACAAGACACAGAGTTATCTTTAACTCCTAGTTCTCCCTTTACCAGCCTGTCCTCTTGCTTATCCATTCTTTCTCTCCAGTGTCTGTTTTTTCTCTCTCCTCCTCTATACTTCATTCCACAGATATATCTTCAGTTTTATTTAATACACTCCTTACGGGGGTCTACTCCTTCACCCCTATCTCTTTTCCCTCCAAGACAATATTTTCTATGCGCAACATAGGCCTCCCCACACCAAAATGTCTTTCTCTAAAGTATCCACTTTCTCTAAAGTCTCCCTGATATGGTTTGTCTGTGTCCCCACCCAAATCTCATCTTGAATTGTAACTCCCACAATTCCCATGTATCATGGGAGGGACCCAGTGGGAAGTGATTGAACTTTGGGGTTGGTCTTTCCTGCACTATTCTTGTGATAGTGAATGAGTCTCAAGAGATCTGATGGTTTTAAAAATGAGATTTTCCCTGTACCAGCTGTCTTTGCCTGCTGCCCTCCATGTAAGATGTGACTTGCTCTTTCTTGTCTTCCACCATGATTGTGAGGCCTCCCCAGCCACGTGGAACTGTGAGTCCAATTAAACCTCTTTGTTTTGTAAATTGCCCAGTCTTGGGTATGTCTTTATTAGTAGTATGAAAATGGACTAGTACATTCCCATTGATCCCACTCCAAATCATATACTTTATCTTTTTTTCAAACTTCCTTATCTAGAAGGAATAGTTCCTTTCTCAACTTTTATAATACTTCTCACTTCTTTATTTAATACCTTTTGTATGTAATATAATATTTGTGTTCATCTTATACAGATCCTTTGGTAAAAATTCTGTATCTTTTATGATCCCAACACCACTGTTACCATAGGGATTTAGGGTATTAGACCAACGATAACTATTATTGAGTGAATGATGAAGACCTGGTGAAATGAGTCCCCT